GCATCTGGAGGGAGAAGCCAGGAAAGTGCATTTTCTTTTTTTTTTTTTTTTAAGATTTTATTTATTTTTTGAGAGAGAGAAAGAGCCCAGGAGTGGGGGGAGGGGCAGAGGGAGAAGCAGACTCTCCACTGAGCAGGAAGCCACCGTGGGACTGGATCCCAGGACCCCAGGATCATGACCTGAGCCCAAGGCAGATGCTTAACTGACTGAGCCACCCAGGCGCCCCAGAAAAGTTCATTTTCATTGGGTTGGATTTGGGAGTGGGAAGTCAGTTCTTACTGGATGTTCTTTTTGGCAGGACATTTTTTTTTTAAGATTTTATTTATATTTGACAGAGAGCACAAGCAGGAGGAGTGGCAGGCAGAGGGAGAGGGAGGGAGAAGCAGGCCCCAAGGATTGTCAGGACATTCTTACTGATTTTGTACAGTGCACATGGCACGGGGCTAGCCCTCAAAGGTTGCTCAAGGAGTGTTTGCTCCCTGAATGAATGAATGAGTGAGTGAGTGAGTGAATGGGTGGGTAAATGACAGCCACCTCAGAACGGTTCTCCCAGAGGCAGGGTCTTCAATTTATTCCTCTCAGTATTGTTCTGCCCAACGCAGGCCTCACACGCTGTCCGTGAATGTTTATGGGATGAGTAAGTGGCCTCCTGGGAGCCCCTCCTCCTCCTTCCCGTCCTCACCTCCTTCCCTGTGATCCCAGCCCCTGCTGGAGTAGAATCAGAGTGGATTTGGGCACTGGGGAGAAGCAGGGCTTTGCCTTGGCTCCTTCCTGCCCAGCTGCCCGGGAGCTGGGGGCTGAGGGCACCCCACCACCACAATGGAGCCGAGGGTGGGGGCCGCACATGTGTGAGGCTGAGGGTGCAGTCTTCTGGTTGGGGTGACACCTAAAAGCTGTGTGACCTTGTGCAGATTACTTCCCTTCTCTGGCCATTTCCTAATCTGTGAAATGGAGATAAAAACAGAACCCACCACAGAGGCTGCTAGGAAGCAGCGGTGAGGTATGACGGACAGGATGCACGCGGGACGCAGCACAGAGGGAACATTCGATAAATGGGCAGCGCTATTATTAGTACTAATGTGTGCATGGTTATTGTGAGCAACCCCTCCCACTGGCTGGGGGCTTCCCAAGGACCCCTGCAGCCAGACAGGCAGGGAGAGATGACAAAAGGCAGGCAGGGCCAAAGGCCCCAATTCCCTGTTCTTTTAATAAAAATAAAGACAGCCTTTAGACATCCTTCTCCTATGCATTGTTCTGCCGAGGCAAGCAGCACAGACTCAATTCCTCCTCAAACTTGGAAAGTTCCTTCCTTTCTTTCCCCTCCCCTGTCACATTTCCTTTATCTAAATCCTCAGCCATGAAAGGGCATATCGACAGCTGGGGGCGTTATCTGGTGGAGGGGACCTTTTCCTAGGGGTGCCTCTGAGATAAGACGTCTTATCAGCCCCCACGTCAGGAATGATGCCAAAGCATTCTAATCATTGAGGCTTGCGACATTTTCTCCCTCCCTCCCCCCATCCCCTTTTTTTATTAAAGTCACAAAAGACCTTGGGGCTTATAAACAGCCTGATTTGCAGATAGGGTTTCAAAATGAGCAGCGTTCCCGGATGGTCCCCGGCTGGGGGAGTCATGAGTCAGGGTGGGGCCTCAGAGGAGCTGGCTTTCTGCAGATGGGATGATGCCAAGCAGAGAGGGGGCAGGGTGGGGTCACGGGAAGAACATGAGTGTTTTACGTGCCTGCCCCATTCCTGTTCCCAGCTTGCTGTGTGACGTTTCCCAGGATGCTTGGCTTCTCTGGGCCTTGGTCACTTCGTCTGACAATAAGTGATTCATTGATTCAGCCAGTCATTCAGCACCTATTTATTAAATGATTACTCTTTGCCAGGCACCGGGAGAAAGAGATAAATATGACATGGTCCTTGCCCCTGAGAAACTCACAGTCCAGTGGAGAGAGACAGACATGAAAATTTGCAGTTACCACTTGGTGTGATTAAGACTGTGAGGGGGGATGCCCAGAGGAAGGACAGCTGAGCCAGAGTCTGAGTTAAAATGGACTGGGGTGGCAGTGCTGTGGGCACAGGGACCAGCACGGGCAAAGGTTTGGGGGTGTGGGGCAGCCGGTTGGAGGGAGGGCTAGAAGGGCTGGCCGGGTTAGACAAAGAAAGTTGGGCTCTGTTCTGGGGTTAGAGGGGGTCTGACTCTGTCCTGTTGTAGATGGTTGGGATGATGTGGGAACTGGTGGTAACCCACTCATCACTGTGCTAGGCTGGCTCCTGTCCCCTCCCACACTGACCCCCCCCCCACCTGCTCCAGCAGCAGGGCACAGGGTTCCTGAGAAAATGAACAGTGAATTGGGATTAGAGGCACAGAGAGAAAAACCTCTCTCCTTCAAGTGAAGATGGTCACTTGGGCTGTGGGGACTCCAGAAGCCAGTGATGAAATGATGCAGGCTGTTGTACTGAACTGAGGCCTGAACGTGGGTCCTGTCTCTTCCGGGGGAATCTTCTGTCATTCCCTGAGCTGGTGACCTCTCGGCTCCCAGAACTGCTTAGGTGTCCACCATCGGAGCACTCTGAAAACCAGAGCCCCACTGAGAGGGCAGCTGCTGAGGTCCAGAGAGGCCCCAGATTAGGCAACCTGCCCCTCACCCTCAACAATTACAGCCCCCAGCCTGCCTCATTCAGCTGCAAAGCATGCTGGAATGTGCGGCCCATGGGGAGTTGCAGGGGAGGACCTGGACAGGGGCTGAGCTTCTTGGGCCCCTGGCACCCAGTGAAAGGCAAGAAGTGAGGAGGACCTGCAGGGGTTGGGGGCGCGGTGCTGGGCATGGTCAGGATGCTGATGGATAATGACCTGGGAGGGATCAGAGGCTCCCTTGGGGTCACACAGTGGGCACTGGGGCAGGGGTATGTAGTTTCCAGATTTCCAGCCCAGCCCTGGGGGCTACCCGCTGGTGAGGGGGTAGGCTTATCTAGCCACTGCCTGCTGGGTGGCCCTGGGCGGGGTGCTAGCTCTCTCTGGCTTGGATTTTCCCATGTGCAGGTGGAGAGGAGGTTCACCTGCGGCTGGCCGGCCTTCTCGGGCTCTCCCCTCTGTCCCCCACACCCTGTGTCAGAGCGGTGAGAGATGGACGCGGGGCCAGGCCGGCGTATCGAGGGGAGGGGCTGCGCTGCCGGCCCCTTACCTCGCAGGCACGCACGCGGTTGCGCGTGACCGTGGACAGCCTGCATGTGCACGCGAGGGCGCCAGGGGGCACGGAGGGGCGCGGCGCTGTGGGTACGGGTGGACGGCGGCGTGCCCATCTCGGCAGATGTACGTAGTGCGCGTGGACGGCGTCTTGCCCGCGTGTCGCCAGGTGTCCGAGCGGCACAGTGTGTGTGCGGCTCTGTCCTAAAGGGCCCAGGTCCCCTGTCCCCGAAGAGTGGTGCCTCCTTCCCTCTGTCAAGGGCTTTCATCCCTGCAATAAACCCCACTTCATTCCCTTTTTAAACTGTGTAATTTCTGCCTGATTGTAATGGTATATTTTAAAATTACCAGAAATCAAAGCCGGGAAGTGGATAGCGCAGCTCTGACTGCATCGTGGCTGCATTAAGGCTGGCGATTGGGGGGTGGGGGTGGGGGTGGGTGAGAACCATCTCCCCTCCCCCATCCACCCCCCTACTTTTTTTTTTTTTTTTTTGAGACAGTAATAGAAGAAAATTGGTTTTGAAACTGAATAAAAGTCCCTTTCAGAGTAAATCATTTCTTTCAGGGTACCTTTGCTGAAAGTAAAATAGAGCATAATGAAAGGTGGTTACGTGATTGTCTTTCATTTACCGAGAGGTCAGGACAGACAGGAGGCTGCAACCGTCTCGGGGAAATTCAAGATTGGAATAATTGCGCCGTAACAAGGAGCTTGTTGTGAAATTAGTATCTTAAGAAAGTAGTGAAAAAAGCCTTTTCCTCATGAATACTTCATTATTAGAAGAAAGCAGCAGAATTTAAGGGCTCCAGACACCTGTTTAGTATTAAATAACTCCCCTTTCTTCCCCTTAAACATCCCCCCAACCCCTCCGCCCACGTCTTTCTTCCTTTTTTTAAGAACTGGCAGGAGGATTGAGCTGGCCCAGCTTGGCTGCTCAGGACACTTGTGGGGGTGGGTTCGGGTCGGGCTGGGTGGACATCAGGGCTGTCTGGCTGCTGGTTCTGGCTCCTTACCTGGAAGAGAGGAAGGGAGGGGCCCTGCAGAGAAATCCCCGCCCTCTCTTCATGGCCTCCAGGGCAAGCCCCAGCTGGCCTGTGTTCACCTTGCCCCATGTTCACCTTGCCCCATAGGGGCTCTGCGTTCTGGGAACCCTGGTGGCCCTTGGGACCTGGGCTCAGGCTCAGCACTGCTCAGGGTTGGAGACTGCATTCTCCCAGGGATGCCTTCCTGGATATCTCCCTGTAGGGGTGCTGTGAGAATGCTCGAGAACAACACTTCAGTACACTGGAACACCCATACGCCAAATGGCAGTTCATGGGCGCCCCACCCCCACCCCGTGTAGCTTCCAAAGATGACCACATGGCGTCTTTGCTCTCCATGAGCTCAAAACTGAAGAGCAGGGACAGACCCACTCACAGGTGGTGACAGGAGAGCCACAGGCCACGCCTGGCTGGAAGGGCAACCTGCTGAGGAAACAGGGAGGGGGTGAGGATCTAACCAGGCCCGGGGGCGTCGGGGCAGCCTCTTGGAGGAGGTGACCCACACAGTGCGCAGGGCCAGGGCATGTGGGACCGGTCAGTTCTGGCCCTGGCACGGTGGAAATCCACCACTCGAGATCTGGATTCTTTTCCTTTCTTTCCTTTGGTGCCTCTAGGCCTCAGCGTCCTCATCTGTCAGATAAGGGAGAAGGGGTATCTGCTTTGAAAGTCTCCAGTGATCTGCTGGGTAGTGGGGAGGCTGCTGGAAGTAGCCTGGGGAAGTGGGAGGCAGGCACGGAGCAGCCCGAGTGACAAGCACCTCATCTCTCTCCTCACAGGGACCCTGCTGCTCGGTGTGCCCCACCGCGGGCCCCCAGCTCCGCCATGCTGGCCTGTCTCCAGAGGACCCAGAACCCACCGGGCCAACACCTGGCCTGCCCGAGCAAGAGCCTGGAGCTCCGAAAGTGTGAGTGCACGCCCTCCCCCTGCCCATGCCTCTCCAGCCCCCGCCCCTGTCCCCTGCCTCTGCCCACAGAGTCCACACCCAGCTTTTCTCTCCTCAGGCCTTTGTGGGGCAGATCCCAGCAGGGAATGCCACCGGAACCCCAGAACATCCACCCACCACAATCCTGCCCAGAGCTCTCCGTGGTCTAGGCCTTTGCCTGTGCTGTACCCCCTCCCCCACAGTGGCACCCACCCCCTTTGGCTGATTCCCATGGAGTGTGACCTCCTTCCCAGGAGTCCCCTCGGACCCCAATCCCAGCCCCCTGCCTGGGACCCCACGATGCACCATGTCTGTCTCACCTACCATGATTTTCTGGCACTGTTGGCAAAGAGGACAATGTGGAAGCACATAGTCCTCAGTGATATCCCAGCTTGGGGCCTGATTTGCTGTGTGATCTTGGGCATGTCTTTCCCCTCTCTGGGCCTTGCTTTTTCAGTGTGTCAAATTAGGGAGCTGGACTTGGTGATCTCCAGGGGTCTGTCTTCCTTGACCATCTAGGACAGGCATACCAAACCCTCTGATCTGATTTTTTTTTTAGCCACAATAGAGTCTTTTTTGTAATTTGAAGTATTTGGAAACATTTGAAAATCAGGGAGATTTGCATAATAATCTGGATTTATAATGTCTCTTGAAAAAAAAAAAAAATCAGAGGATCTGGTAACATAGGCCTGGGTTCTTAAACTGCAGCTCTCAGTTAGAAATGAACTTCAAAGGGGACAGCTATCGGGGCACACCTGGGTGGCTCAGCCAGTTAAGCGTCCGACTCTTGATTTCAGCTCAGGTCATGATCTCCGGGTTATGATCTCAGGATTGTGAGATCGAGCTCCATGTTGGCTCCACACTGGGCATGGTGGAGTCTGCTTAAGAGTCATCCCCCCCACTCTCACCCCCTGGCTCATGTGCGTGCGCTTGCTCTCTCTGTAAGAAAAAGGGTAGGGGGACAGCTAGCTCCCTGTTGGTGCTGTCCTATAGCACGAGATTGGTTGCCCTTCATCATTGTGCTTTTACACTGTTGCTCTTTCTCCTTTCTTAATAGGTGTTTATAATTTTTTTTTTTAGATTTTGAGAGAGAGAGGTGTGAATAAATCTACAAGATAAACTTCTAGAAAGGGAAATACTGGGTCAAAGTTCTCTGCCTTTGTACTTTTGATAGATGTAGTCTGAGGAACATCTTGAGATGACTCTGGGTGAGACAGCCTGTTTGCCCACACCCTCACCATCACAGCATGGTATCAGACTTCTAGGCTGGGTCACCTCATCAGTGAAAGTAGGATCACAGTGTGGTTTTAAGTTTAACATGAATGAGGATGACTATCTTTTCATGTTGGGGCCATTTGTTTTATCTTTGAACTTATTCATCTTCTTGGTCCGTTTTTTCAATTGGGTGGTTTTTTGTCCTTATTGAATTATAGGAGCTCTTTGTATATTGCAGAATTAGACCTCTGTCATCTGAATTGCATATGGTTTCCCCAATTTATCATTTGTCTTTGATTCTGCTATGTCTTTGTGAAGTGAAATCTGTATTTCCTTTTAGGGCCTTTGGATTTTGTGTCATACTTAGAATGTCCTTCCTCATGCTGAGATTTTTTTTTTTTTTTTAAAGTTCCCCAGGCTTTCTTCTAGTTTTTTTATGGTTTAATTTTTTAAATACATGGTATAAAGTGTGAGGTATGGATCCAAGCATATGCAAGTCATTAGGGCAATGCTGTTTTAATTGTTACAGAGTTATAATACATTCAAAATTTTAACAACTTTATTGAAATAGAATTCATATACCATAAAACCCACCCATGTGACGTGTACAATTAAGGGTTTTTAGTATATTTACAGAATTTTGTATCCGTCACCCTAGTCATTTTTAGAACATTCTTATCACCTCAAGAAGAAATCCCTTACCCTATTCTGGACTTTCCTAAGAAGGGAACCCTGTAGCATGTGGTCTTTTGCAACTGGCTTCTTTCACTTAGCATGTTTTCAAGGTTCCTTTGCATTGTATCATGCACATAACACCTTTTAATATTTGGTGGTGCTTGTTGTTCCTTGTTAGGCCCCCCACTCTAAATTTCTAGAAGTGGAAATTGGCTATTTTTCTGCCTGAACTATAGAATCAACTCATCTGGGTAAGAACAAAAATCCTGTTGTTTTTTTCTGGGCTTGCATGAAATTTATAATTCAGGAAGAAATTTTTTTATGTTGATGCCCTCTAGGACCATCAGTTTGTTCAGACTTTTGTGTGTCTCTGGGAATGTTTTAATATTTGCTTCATCTAGATCTTGCATATTTTAAAAGTTTAATTCTGGGTAGTTACCCCCTTTTTTTGGCTAGTGTTTTCTTCCTGAAATGGAGGTTATTTATATAAAGGCTAATAACTCCTGCCCCCTTACTGAATTCTTTTATTGTTTGTAATGGTTTTTCCATTTGGTTTCTTAGATTTTCCAGTTACTCTATTTTATCATGTGCAAATGATAACCTTACCTCCTACTTTGGAAGTTTTATACCTTAATTTCTTTGTCTTACTTAATAGTGTTGGCTGCGATCCTTGGAACAATGAAAAATAATGGTGATAATGGACACTCTTGCTTCATTCCTGACTTTAATGAGAAGCTTTTAGGATGTCCCCATCATGCAAAATGCTGGTTTCAGGGGCAGATGTTTTATCAGGTTAAATAAGTGTCTGAGTATTCCTGTTTTATTAAGAATTTTTAAAAATTAAGAATGGAAGTTGAAGCTTACCAAAAGCCTTTTCAGTGTCTATGAAGACAATGTTTTTTCCTTTAATCATGTAATAGGAATAATGATAGAAGATCCCTTTACATCAAACTATCCTTGCATTCCTGGTTGAATCCCAGTTGGTCATGGTGAATATTTCAATACAGTGCTGGATTGGCTTGGCTACTTAGGGGTTTTGCTGCAGTTTCATCTGTGAGATTAGTTTTCAGTTTTTTGGAACAATTTTTGTTGGGTTTCGTGATCAGTGTTATGCTTGCCTCATAAAGAAAATGGAGGCTTCCCTCCTTTCTCTATGCTTTGTGATAGTTTAAGTAGAAATGGATTATCTGTTCTTTAAAGATTAGTTGATCCTCCATGAAACAGTCTGGGCCAGTGCCTTTCTTTGGGGTGGGAGCTCTTTGATTCTTACATAATAATTGATCTGTTATAATTGTTCTACTGCTCCTTGAATGAGTTTGGTAAATTATGTCTGTCTAGAAAAGTATTCATTTTATCCAGCTATCAAATTTACTTGCATGAGGTTGAACAAATTAATTTACCATTTTTAAATGATTATTTCATCCTTATTTCTTGTACATTTTGTGCTTCCCTCCCCAAACCCATTCCCCATTTTTCTTGATTAGGTTAGTTAGCTAAGAGGTTACCAACCTCCCCTTCCCAAAGATCCATCTTTGAAATCTATTAGTAATTACCCTTTTCTGCCTTCTAATTTATTAATTCATGCTTTTATTAGTATTTAAATCTTCTTTGTACTTTCCTTGTTTCTTAAAAAATTTTAGTGGCTTCTTTATACTGATAAACAAGAAAAAAATATTAAAGCTATGAATTCTCCGAGCACTGCTTTAGTTGTGTCCTATAGGTTCCAATAGAAGGTATTTTTATCATTATTTTTAAAATCTCTTATAATTTAATTTTGATTTTTTCTTTGACCTACGGCTCATTTGAATTCCACCTATCCACTCAGGTAGTAGGTGCTTTTGTAATTCATTATCTCTAGTTACAATGCATTATGATCAGAGAATGTTGTCCATGATTTCTTTTTTGGACTTAAATTTTTCTTTGTGGTGTAATCAGTTTTTGTGAGTTTTGTGACTTTTCAAATGGCACTTGGAAAGAAGTGTGGCTATTTTGGGGATTCAAAGTTTGGTGTATACAAATTATATCTCCCCCATTAATTATGTTAGTTATGTCTTCCATATCCTTGCTTATTACCTGTCATGGATGGAGAAATGAATTAGACACCTACTACTCACCTGTTCCCAGTCTATCTCTTCTTGCAGCATCTACAGCTGTGGCCTTTTAACACGGAGATAGTAATACTTTAAATCTTTATAGTGAATTGCGTCTTTCTTGGCCATACTTAATATGATGGTAACCTCTGCTTTTTTGATTCACATTTTCCTTGAAACTTTACCAATCCTTTCATTTCAACCTTTCTAAATTACTTGGTTTAGATGTGACTCATATACCATAGAGCTGGATTAAGCTTTGTGAGAAAATCTGAATGGCTTTTTAAAATTTTTTGAATGTTTTAGCCCATTTACATTTATTGATATGACAGGTGTCTGATCTATTTTGTGCTTTATTTTAATTGCTTTGAAAAGTCTCTCTCGGGGCACCTGGGTGGCTCAGTTGGTTAAGCATCTGCCTTCAGCTGAGGTCATGATCCCAGGGTCCTGAGATTGAGCCCTGTGTCGGGCTCCCTGCTCACTGGGGAGTCTGCTTCTCTTGCTCACTCTCTCAAATAAATAAAATCTTAAGAAGTCTATCTCTATGTGATCTGTGCTGCACTGTGTACCCACTAATCATAAAGAAGGTTGTTTTTGTTCTAGTGCTGTAACTTTAAATAATACCCTGATCTCTATTTCTTTGGAACAGTATCTATTACTGTCCCTAAAATGAACAAAATGATGAAATCAATGTATTTCCTTTTGCTCCCTACATTTTCTTAGAGTTCACCTCTTCATTACCTGACATTGGTTTCTTTTTTAAGATTGATTTATTTTAGAGAGTGAGCAAAGCAGGAGGGGCAGAGGGAGAGGAAAAAAAGAATCTCAAGGAGACTCCACACTGAGCCCAACGCAGGGCTCAACACGGAGCTTGATGCGGAGCTCTGTCTCACGACCCTAAGATCACAACCTGAGCTGAAATCAAGAGTCAGACACTTAACAAAGCCTGTGCCACCCAGGTGTCCCTACCTGACATCAGTTTTAAATATCTTTTGGAGCATC